GGATTACCACCAATGCGATCCAGGATCAATCCTGAAGGTTGCCGCAGAATTTTTAACGAGGTCGCAAATTTTCAATCCAAAGATTTGGTCGACTTGATACAGAGAAAACTAACACCAAAAAAATCAACCAACAGTTTGTGTTACTCGGTCGTTTATTTCTCTATTAACACAAACAGCCTCGCCAAGTTTCACCCATTTTTCTTTATACCCAGGTTGGTCAATGAAACAAGGCTGAAATGAGAGCTGATGGCAGGGCAAACTTCCAGGCAAAGTTTCAACTTGAAGTGACACCTCTTTTAGGTTGTATAGCATTGCCAATTTTTACTTTCTCGCTCCCCTAGTTTATTTTTTATGGGCTAAAATCAAAGAATTCTGAGCCCAAAAAAAGTATAGTTTCTCGTCAAAGAAAATCCATGCCACCGAGTTTCACAAAAATCAATCCATCATGAGACGAAATAGCGTTTACCTACCAGACCTACAAAGTGATAAAAATTCACGGAGAACTTCGGGAAAAACAATTCGATGAGTTTCCTTATAAAAATAATACATAATAAATAATTCCGGAACATTCGAACACATGTTGTCTTTACAGTAATGGAAACGCCGAGTTTAATGCGATTCTGATCGATCACGAAGCTTGGGAACCGATCTCAGCAGAGTCAGATTGGGTTAAGTTAGGTCACGCAACTAAACTAACTTCCCGGCAAAGCTGGAAGTATCACTCTGATTGAAGGCGCGTCAATCCTGAATCTGTACACATTATTTCTACAACTTCTTCTAGAACTTCGGGAAAAACAATTCGATGAGTTTCCTTGTGAAAATAATACATAATAAATAATTCCGGAACATTCGAACACATGTTGCCTTTGCAGTAGTGAAAATGCCGAGTTTAAAGCGATTCAAATCGATCACAAAGCTTGGGAACCGATCTCAGCGAGTCAGATTGGGTTAAGTTAGGTCACGCAACTAAACTAACTTCCCGGCAGAGCTGGAAGTATCACTTTAATTGAAGGCGCGTCAATCCTGAATTTGTACACATTATTTCTACAACTTCGATCAATAAAACATTCTATGCTCTTTATCTCTACTTTTCCTTGCTGTGTAGAAGTATCTTACGTAGCATTTAAGTCAAGCAACCAGAGCAATTTTGTGTATCATTCAGCAATGAATTGTAAGGCTTGGAGAACAAGGCGTATAAGTGCAGTTTTTGAAAAAAATGAGATATTAGTGATTTCAAGCAAAACTAGTCTTAATGCATATTATGAGAAAAATACGCTCCCTAATTCCAATTTTTTAAGTATCGAACTTTTTTTTCCGCCATAAGGATCCATGTAATTTCGAAACTTCCAACACGTACTCCACGAAATGGCAAAAACTGCACTTATGCGCCTTGCCCTCCAAGCCCCTAGTTCAAGGTTGAAGCAACCATACTATGTACTACCACGGTGCGGTGGATGACGTCATACGCAGTGATTTTCTAGGGGCTGTATCTCCGTTGATATTGGTCGTAGAGACTAGGCGTTTAGACAGATCTTATTATTTTTTGCAAAACGCTTAAACTATCAAAACGCGATTATTTTGACAATTGCAAGTTCCGATCCGTAAGTAGTTACACCGGTGGAGCTATTGCTTTGACGATGAGTGAGGATTTCAAGGTGCACGTACCGACTACCTATGGGGGCTCGTNGGGGGGGGGGGGGGGGGAGGTTGGAGGATGTCCGCACCGCGGCGGCTGCGGGACAGATGAGGCCCCTCATCGCGGTAACGGCTTTACGCGGGAGGCGATTAGTTAGTAATTTGTGTTCTCAGCGGGGGCAGACCGATAATCCCGACCGGACCCGGCGGGAAAAGTAAACATGACATGATACGATTCCTCCATCCTCGATCTAATGTCAGTGCCGAGCTGGCCCCATCAAAGCTCAAGAATTACGGGGGGTGGGAAGGCGTCGGGTCGTGTTCTTACGGACTCGTTACTCCGCTCGACGCCCCCGACGTGCGGGCGAAATTCGATTTTCACGTGAGCCCCGAGGAGCAAGGAGTTTTCCGGACGTTAGGGTTCATCCCGAAGTGCAGGAACGCTCTGCCGTAAGTGAAGCGACGGCACTGACAGCGTGGTGAAAATGGACCACGTTAAGCAGAGAGGAACCAAGCCATATCAGCTCGCCAAATGTATTGGGAAGTTTCATTTTTCACATGAAAACAGTTGTGCGGATTTTTGTACTTTCCGTGAATTTTCTGCATAGTGCAGAGCAAATTCCTTAAAACTTTCGATAGAATCTGCAAGAACGTTTTCTTGAAAAAAATTAAAATTGCCAAGTTAAATTTGGCAATAGCTGATGTGTCTTAGTTCCTTTCTGCAAAACGCGGTCCAAGTGAATTCGGAGTTTTACATTAATCCTCTTGAGGAAAATTTTGGGCGCAAAATTTGTGACCACCCACGGAAAAGGGGATTAAGGAACCGTTCATGAAATACGTGACGCTTGAGGGGAGAGATGAGCCTGCACCTGTGTTATGGGTGCGTAACCGGGGGAAGGGGCGTTCAATGACTGCGTTACGTATAGCTCGCCTATTTTATAAGCTCTTGGTATTCCCGTTGCTTCCGTTCCTAATTTTTATTAAGACCAATCGATGGTTCCTCCTGAACAAGAGGAACCTTCAGGTTTACTCTGTACAACTGATTTTCAATATACTCCCCTAGAATTAAATCAGTCCTGACTGGACGATAAACTGCAAGATGGTTTCAGCATTGATGACTTCCTGTAGCGAAATAAATTAATTATCAGGTGGGTGAAAATTAAAAAAATAGTCGCTATTAAAGCATGATTAGATTAATTTGATTTTCAAAAAAAAAAAAAAAAAAAAAAAAAAAAAAAAAAAAAAAAAAAAAAAAAAACATGAGGTTTCCCTGAATTTCTGCGTATTTTTACATGAACACATGCATTTTGATTCAAGCGGAGGATTTTTTTCGAAGCAGTGCAATACGCGACGAAAATGGAATCATCAGCCGAAAACTAAAAATGCAAATAAAGCACAATACTCCGGATATAAAGAAAAGGCTATCGTACAATCTCAATGGATTTACAGGCAGACTTTAGACAGGAAGAAAATGTAACTGATTTACTGATGAGCTTGAATGTGTAATCCCATCGAAATATTTTTTTTCTTCGAGCAATTGAAGATTTCAGTGCCGAGTCAATGTCGACTGGTTGGTTCCGTAATAAAATAACAAAAAAGGGAGTCCCGCTAATTTTGTAGAAATGAAGAGAAGCCAAACAATGAAGATGAACAATATCCTCTTCTTCTGGCTGGGGAATGCAAGCACGCGGGGGAGGCCAGCGCAAGAAAACACGCTATATCGCGAGATTGTGGACAAATCATGAGTTGAAATCAATCGTGTAAATCGTCCGTTTCACACGACTTTGCTCGTGGTAAAGCGCATAACCATTGACAAGAATTATGCCACAGCGACGACCGAGGAACAAAAATTGTTGAAATTTTACAACAGGTAGTGCAAGGTTCACGCACACAGTGCTATCGAAAACAACATACTATCAATCGAAAATTAAAACGAGAGTCTAGTAACTTAAAAAAAAGAAATAAAAAATAAAAATAAAAAATATCAGTGATATATGGCAACCGATAAATCTCAAAAATGGTTTCCAGGATTAGGCAATGGCGGGTTTTACGTTTCCGATACACAGATTCATAGAAATATGGGGCTATCATCATGCATTTGTTATTCGTACCAGGGGCTAGCACTTTGGTGATTCAATGTAAAAACTTATTGGTCAAGACAATACGGCTGAAATTATTGATTCAGGGCATGAAAGTTGAAGGTGCTGGATAAATTTCTTTGAAAAATTGAATTATTACAGTTAGGTGGACATTTTCTCGTGTTCCATGAAATGGTGTCAAAATCCAAAGAAACGTCCAGATCCGTGGATAACAGTTCGCCGATCAACAAAACTGCAGAAGGAAAAATTTGGAGTTCATTTGGAGGAGGTTGGTGAAACTTGAGGAAATTAGTGAGGAATAATCGGCTGCGAGGAAAATCGATTTAAGGGAAAATTGAGTCGATGGATTTTAATGAAAACTGAGGACATCTATTTTTTGCCACCTATTTTTAAATCCTATTTTTTGTGTGAAAAATCAAGTTGATTCACTGTATACAGGGTTGCCGCAGAATTCGGAAAATAAAATTTCTTGACAATGGAAAAAATTTCAGATTGTTAAAAAATCAGTTTGAAATAGTTTTCAATTTGTTGTTCAAAACGTCAAACCCACTCGAGGAAGCAAATGTAGGCGACTTGCCAATTTTTCCCCGACACTTTTGTCATTTTCCCTGACATTCCCAAGTTAGTCCTGACTTTTTAAATATCCTGACATTTCCCTGGTTTCCCTGACTGTGGCAACCCTGTGTATGACAGATTCTCCCTGGAAAACCGCTTTTCCTATATACCTCTAACACCTTCATTCCTTCATACACTGAAGCTTCAAAATAGCAGTGCTCTCATTCCATGACCTTCAAAAGTTCCAGATGTCGGAACTTTTTTGTTTCAATTTCTCCCATTCCATGACCGTCAAAAGTTCCGGAATTCTTTTCAGATCTTTCCGAAAGTTCCGAAAGATGCAAAAGATGCGGAGCCTTTCGGGAATCTCAAAAGTTCCGGGAAAAATTCAGAAAAATCTCAGAACACTGGAAAAAAAACATATTGCATCTAGAGTCCAGACTCTTTAAAACATTGACAAGAAAAAGGACTCTTGATTCAATCAGGTTTAAGCTTAAATCAAAGGGAAATTCGCTCAAATTAAGAGGCTTGGTTCTTGATTCAAGCTTAAATTTGATTGAATCAAGAGTATTTTTTCTTGTCGATGTTTTTAAGAGTCTGGGCTCTAGATCCAATGTGTTTTTTTTCCAATGAAGTTCCGAAATTTGGAACTCGTTCCGGGAAATGGGAGCACTGCAAAATAGCGAGTCGGGAAAACGGGGGGATGATTACCTTTTCGTGGCGCTTTTTGAGGGCGCTGGAGATGGTTGAGGCGGTGGGCAAGTTGAAGTGCTTGGGGCTGCTCTCCGAGGCGAGCCGGTTGAACTTTTGCGTGCATTCTTTCACGCTGATTTTCCGGTTCTCGACGTCGATCGCTCCTGCGCTGTACTGCATGGGGAGAGAAGCGGGGTACAGGGGGAGAAACCAAAAATAAAAATCAAACAGGAGACATCGACAGCCAATTTGGGGAACAATTAAAGCAAACGAAAGGGCGTGCAAAAAAAATAGCACAGAGAAAATTTTACTACTTCTTTGTTTTCTTTATCGGGCGAAAAAGAAAGAAAGTGACAGAGAAAATTTTGGTTAATAATTCCTTCATCGGATTCCTCTGATAAACATTGGCGGATCCAGCAAATTGGCAACATTGTTTTTCTCCATTTAAATCTATGGAAATGTATCGATTCTTGGAGGGGCCAGGTGCTCCGATAAGAATCGATTATTCGACATAGGTTTAAATGGAGGAAATCAGGTGTTGCCAAATTGCTAGATCCGCCTTTACATGAAAAAATCGGAATTTCTGTTCAGGAGGATTCTCATTGCCGTTACAGAAATCTCATCAGGGCAGCTGCAGAATTTCTGATTGTCTCAAATTAAGAACCAACTATTAACAGGAAATTTTCCTCTGTGCGGTGTCTTTTGACGAAATTCTGGAACTGAGGGCTGGAACTTAATGGGCTTTTTCCGGAATTTAAAGAGGAAAAAAAAATGGTAAAAATTATGAAAATACGCATGAGATCCTCAGCTGATCATTGTGGAAATTCAGTTTTGAAAATATGAATATCGAATGTGAAACTCCGCAATCACATATCTCGTTTGCCATGTTTCGAAATCTCTACTTCCTTTTTATTTTTTTGAAGGAGAACTAATCAACATTATTTCTTGAAGTTTTCACAGAATTTCTTCACACAGAGAAAAAAAATCAAGGAGGTTTCAAAGAATTGACGTTGAGTGGTTCCCCATTTCAAAAATTAAGTATGAAAGGAATTCTGCAATGTCGCAAACCGAGATGTGTGGTTTGGGTATACTTCACCATCGATAAGTCGTTTTGCCTCTCAAGACTGAAGGTCAGTGGACCACCTATGAATACTTTGAAATTGCAAGTTGAAAAATGAGGTTACAGGTCAACCAATTCTGAAAGTAAAATTTTCATCACTCAGCTGATCGTTGGGAACGTTGACGCCATTTTTAGATTCGTTGCTGACAAAACATCAGAACGACACAATAACATCGAAAAACCTAAAAAGTCGCGACAGATTGTCTCATGACCCGCCAAATTTTAGAGAAATTTCACATTTATGATTGGCCAACTTGAAATTTCAAAGTGTCCATGGGGGTCTACCGACTCTAACTCCGAACAAGCTGAAACTGCGACGATACTCTTGGAGACCCTTTCTTACGAGGGTCTGTTCATATAATTTAGTTTCATGAGGTAGCAGAATGCCTTCCTCAAGATGAGATTTTTCTAATTCACTCAGACCAGAATTCCGTCTTGATCATACTTAAAAATAAAAAGCACATTGATGGTGAGAGTAACCACGAGGCCAAAAATTTTGATACGGCCTTCAGTGGCGTCATTTTTGAGGGCTTCGATTAAAAAATGATGGAGATGGCTAATGGGAATGAAACAAGCTACAATTTTTGAAATGATGTAATATGCCCTTACCATGCTATTTATTTAGTTACTTAGGTATCACGTTATTTTGACAAGCAAAAAAAATGCCCCCACCCCTCTAAAGGACGCCACTGGCAGCCTTTAAAATGTCTCATAATAGGTATTCATTTTTCTTTCTTTTTCAAAAAAAAGATAAACCATCATTTTTGCATTAGACCTACACGGCAATGGCAGCAAAAAAAAAAAAAAAGCAACAGGATGGAACATTCTAACTGCGGAGGCAGGGTGGGAGGGGTTGAGGGCCTGCTTCACTGCTATGCTAAGGAAAAACGAGCCTTCAGGCGTTGCCAAGTTTCCTTCGATAAAAACGAATTTACAGGGAAAATTGTGAATAATTCCCCCCAAAATTATCCGACTATTTTGTACACAATTTAATCTACAACATCAGAAAATTTAAAAGAAAAATGTGCATAAACATCGTCAAAAATACTAGTCTTATCAAGAGAACTTTGGCAACTCTCGGACGTTCATACGGCGTTTTTCCTTAGCACGGCAGTACAGTTGGACTACATTTTGCAATTTGGAACTATAAATTCTGGCTCTTCTGGAAAAACACTTATGTGCATAGGGGAACTAATAGCACATAAGTTGTTTTTAAACCGGGCTGGAATTTATAGTTCCAAATTGCAAAATGAAGTCCAGTTCTTTTACCCATCAAAAATATGAGCCTCCTTTTTCAAGAGAGTCTTTTAAGCACTGCCATTTGAACTTAAAAACATTACAGCCCAACTTAAAGACCATCGTTGAATTTTAGTAAATTGAATTTGGAGGCCGATACAAAATGCACATTCTGATTTACATGAGCAGAGAAATGATTAGACCTTCAGATGCAGAAACATGCAGGGGTTCTCAAATACTTTGAGATGATTAAATAAATGCAGTGTCCTTCCATTGAATCCGTCAATAGAGTTTGGAGATGATGACTCATGAAATAAAATTAGCTTGCAAAGTCTGCAGACATTTGCTGCAGTAATCATAAGGAAAAATGAGAATAAGAAATCCGCCATGAAATGTCCAAGAAAACTTTAACTCAAAGAACTATAAGATACTTTGCTGAGTCATACGAACATACTCTTTCTCAATTCATCAAGGCATTTTTTTAGCCCACTGACAGGAACCTATTAAAAAGTGCTCATTACAATCAGCTGTGAACTGGAGAAAAATTGCAACACATAATTCTCATGGCTTCAGGGATCAAGTACATTACAATTGAGGAGTGCGTAAATATTATGAAAATGACCTCAGTTTATGAATTCTTGTTTAACATTTGATGCAAACGAATAAGAAAGCAAACTGAGAGGGAGCGGAGAAAAACTGATGCACTTCAACATTGCAAATGCTTCATTTAGATCAACATAACATTTAAAATGCCAATGACACTGATTAAAATTAGTGTGAAAGTAAACTCACCAAATCGCTCTCTGCGCCAATAGTCTTGGGCCTCTTGCTGAATTCTTTGTTGGAATTTGCGTTTTCCTTGTTATCAGCTTTCATTGGTTGAATCTTATCACAGCTGCTTCTCCGTCGGGGTGGGACAGGTGGAGGACCATCGCCACTTGATAAAAATGGATCGTCCAGAGAAGACTGGCGGTTGATCGAGCCACTGGACACTGATGATGACAATGACATGTTGTCATCAAACGATGACTGGGACGGAAGATGAGGTCTCACAGGTGGAGGGGGTGGGCGATACGGAGGGGGCTCCACATGTCTTGGGGGAGACATAAAGTGATTGATACTATCCTGTTGTGAAAATCGGTTCAAATCTTGATTATTAAGATACCTGTTGACTCCCTCTTGAGATGCATACCGGTTCATATTATCTTGTGAAAAATAGCGACCGACTCCATCAGGAGACGGATACCTGTTTGCACCATCCTGAGAGTGATAACTGTTGACGCTATCCTGGGACTGATAACGATTGACACCATCTTGAGAGCCAGAATATCGACCAATGCTGTCTTGGGAATTCGAATAATGGTAACCGCCAGGGAGTTGGTTTGGATAAAGGTATCCTAGGGAGTTGGCAGAGTCTACTGAATTCAGGGGCTCTGGGGACATTGGTGGAGAGGACATCAACCCGTCCATACTGTTGCAACCAACCATGCCCTGGTTCCTGAATCTCTTCTTAAGAACCAAATATTTTTCTCCCTGTAAAAAAAGAGAGAACCTATCAATGGGTGACTTGGATAAAAGATAGAGGATGGATTTCTCATTTGACATGCTTCAGCAATCAAAAGAGAGCAAAAGCATCAGTTTCACTTAAATCCTAGGAATGCAACTGGTATTTAAATCATATTTGAGGTGATAGAAGGCCTGAGTCTGAAAGAAAGAATGTGCAAGGTTTTCTTTACTTGCCTAGAAGGTCACTCACTAACAATTTTTGGATTAAAAATGTTGCAAAATACCTATTTCCTCTAAACCTCACAACTTTTAAATGGGACAAAACACAGAGAGAAGCATGGAGGAATATAGATTCAAATAGAACACAATGGTGCAAATTAGTTTCGGGAACTTGTTGGGCTGAGTATTTTTTTTATTCTAATTTTTTACATTTTTTTTAAAAAAAATTAAGAGGAAGTTAAATAAAATAAAAAAAAAACCAGAAGAAATAGGGTGGTAAAATTCTATGCTAGTGTCATTGTAACAAAAGAGGGAAATAAAATTAGAAATGAGAAATAACTTACATCATCATTGCGAATAATGGTGGCAACAAAGTTCACAATTTCCTTGAAATGGTTTCTAGCTTCCACTGGAAAAAAAAGGAAGAAGGAAAATTAAAAATTTGAATAGGTAGGTACTTACTTATTGATGGGCAAAGAACATTAACAATCAAGCATAATCATTGGATGAGGCGTTGAAAGGTTCACATTTATACTTAGGTAAACGTAAATAAAGCTCAAGATTTTTTTAAAAAAAAAAAACAAACCTACACTTGATAATTTTAGTTCATTCTATATTTTGATGGAATAAAATTGTGTGACATTGAAGGACTACAAGGCCAAATGTCACATCCACAAATTGCACCATTCAACAGATATTTACATGCTAACCAATGGGCCAACTGATAGTTGATACATTCAGACTTATGCGACTTTTGTCTACCTATTATTTTCTTTTTCCAGTTCTACAGAGCATGGAGAATTCAGTTGTTACTAGAAGAGAAATCAATGTAAAGGAAACCATTCATGCAATTCCAGTAGAACACACCAATTCTTAGGATTCGATAAATACGTAGTCGAGCACATAATTTAACTGATAGAAGGGCTAATAGAGTGTCATGTATTGACGGTGTAAGTGGGCAATCACATAACTTGGTTTGCCTTGTCACAGACTTCCTGTCATGCTTTATTTATTAAATGGAAAACTTCTTAACGGTAATTCTTAAAAACTGCTGTGATTTTTCTCCTCTGTGCGAAGGAAATTCTGCATAAACTTCAAGCAATGATGTCAATTTGTTCTCTTTTAAAAAATAACACAGAGGCAGAGATTTTCAGACACCGCAAACAAGATATGTGATTGCGGACCTATTGTGTCGATATGTGCATAAATACTGGTCATCTCCTTCTTTCAAAAACATAAAAATTTTCCTCCGTATTTTGGATACAGTAGCTGCGTTGACGCCTTGAAATGAATCTAACAGGACAACAACCTGTTGCACCTAGGCAACATAATTAGACAGTTTCCTGAGAAGTATATGCGCTCACAAATCTTAAAGCAATTGACAGGAGAAAATTTTTGACCAGCAAAAGGCAGTTTCACAAAATTATTGCGAGAAGGAACTTAATTATATTCTAATGTTTGGAACATTAAAACCTTGAAATTGAGGTTATGTGAGTTATGTGGCAAGGCAGTTTACCTCTGTTATCCGGATTAGTAAGGTATCCTTTGAAGTGTCGCACTAACTCATGGTTTGTCACTTTTCCACCTTTATGTAAAATAAAATTCCGCACTGCTTCAACTGTCACAACTTCAGGATTATCCATAATTAAAGGGACCGATTTCAGAGTTTCAGTCGGATTGTTTTGTTTTGAAATTTGAACAACAATGAAGGGATCGGGAACCAAGGGTGGGTGCAACGGTGAAGTAGGTGAAAAGTAGCCATTTTTATGACGCATATACTGTGCCCAACCTACGTCATTCAGATGACAGTATCAGCCTCTCACCAAGGCGGGTCTACTCTCCGCCGCACCGCTCCCGGGCGCTCGCGCCTGTGATTCACGGTTTTCTACTTCATATTATTTTAAATTTTAATTTTTTGTAATTCATAAATTTTTTTTCTCGCTCATAAACGCACTGAGAGTAATAATGCGTTGATGGAGTAGGTACTCACATTGTGTCCAAATAATTGTGTTTATAAATACGCCTCTCCTTCCTACCAGTGCTTTCAGTTGATATTTTCTGCACAGGCGATAGCCAGAAAGAGCATGGAATAAATTGGAATTTTCGTCGAAATATGCCCAAATAGATTCTAAATTTACCAAAAAAAAAAACAAAAAAAACTTAATTTTATTCTCATTTTAGAAACAACGTATGTGCTACTGATTTTCCAATGCGAACAAAATAGTTTACCTAAAGTTTTCTCCCATCCCTCATTCTTCCTTTCCTCTGATTTTTTTTTTTCTACTCTTAATTTCCCTTATTTTCCTCTTTTTTTCCTCTTCGGGGTCATCTTTTTCCGCTTCTTCCTCACATTTTCTTCTCCTCCTACTCTTCTTCTTCTTCTTTTTTTCTTCGTTGTTCTTATCTTTTTGTTTGCCCTTCCCTCCCTTTTTAATCCTCATCCTTGTCTCTAATTTCTAATTTTCTTCTCCAAACTCCAGCTCTTTTTCTATCTCTTTTTTTAGTCTCTCTATTATATCTTTCCTCCACCTCTTATCTTCCTTTTCTCCTTCTCCTCTTCTTTTTATGATCATCTATATTTTCCTCTTCTCCCGCTCCTTTTTCTTCCTCTTGCTCTCCACTTCACTTCCTTCTTTTATTTTCTGTATCCTGATAGGTAGTATAGTGGATAAGCCAGAATTGGTGGTTTACTAATTTTTGGAAAATGTGGTCCGTATCTCAAACCAAAATCGGAGTAGGTAATGACGGTTTGAAGTTTGCAGTTCGAAAAATGTAGCTCATGCTTCTCGTCATCGCGCCTTCAATTTTTCAGATACAGCACGGACGTCCATCAAGTACGAATAGTTGTATCTCTGCGCCGTCGTTAACGCGCATCCTCTCCCTCGCTTTATTTACATATATATTGTATTTTTTTCCGTTTGTCTTATTCGTAATGGTGCTTCAAGCACTACGTGAGTAACACAGCCGAAGGTAGGAGAGATGTGTTCGGGCCTCTTTTTTATTTAACTTTTCTCCCGAGTCTGAGTGACACCTCGTTGATAGCATATAGCAGAGCGAGCTCACGCTTCGCGTCATCGCGCCTTCAATTTTTCAGATACAGCACGGACGTCCATCAAGTACGTATAGTTGTATCTCTGCGCCGTCATGAACGCGCATCCTTTCTATCCCTCTATTACCATATTGTGTTTGTTTCAGTTTGTCTTATTCGTAATGGTGTTTCAAGCACTACGTGAGTAACACAGCCGAAGGTAGGAGAGATGTCTTCGGACCTCTTTTTTAACTTTTCTCCCGAATCTAAGCGACACCTCATTGACAGCATATAACAGAGCATTGAGAGCTCACGCTTCGCGTCATCGCTGCCGTGATAGCGAAGAGAGCCGTAAGTGCAAAAATGAAGTTTTGAGAAAACGGGCTCAGAAGCTTCTGACAAGAACATTTTATTGAGAGAAGCCTCCGTTCTTTGTCAAATTGCCACTAATCGTCCGGTAGACCCCTAGAAATCGTATGGATGATTAAAAATTGACTGATTTTATTTCCATTACATAAAAATGGTATTATTCATTTTCATGCTAGGTTATTGTTAGGCAAAACAGCCGTATAAGTGCTATCCTCTGCATGCTTTCGTGGTTGCGTTTTGGACGCACAACAAACACATTTTCAGGTTAGAAATTGGCAGAAGAGGGCGGCACACTTTACTGGAAAGCACTTTTTTCATTGGCTCTCATGCATCTACGGCTGTCTTGAAAAAAAACTGTGTCATTTTTTGTGCACTTACGGCTTTTACATACATCTCGTTTTCATTAAATTAGGATGCATTTTGCTGTTTTAGCTGTCTCGGAAATTTCATCCAAAAGAGTTTAGACGAATTTTGAAGAAAACTCGATTTCGAAAATTTTGCACTCACGGCTCTCTTCGCTATCACGGCAGATCGCGCCTTCAATTTTTCAGATGCAGCACGGACGTCCATCAAGTACGAATAGTTGTATCTCTGCGCCGTCGTTAACGCGCATCCTCTCCCTCGCTTTATTTACATATATATTGTATTTGTTTCCGTTTTCTTATTCGAAATGGTGCTTCAAGCACCACATGAGTAACACAACCGAAGGTAGGAGAGATGTGCTCGGGCCTCTTTTTTATTTAACTTTTCTCCCGAATCTGAGTGACACCTCATTGAAAACAAATATGATTTTTTCCCCCCTTCTTTTTCAATACCAATTTCACCATGTAACGCCGTTTGCTGGTTTTTATTTTAATTTCTTTTTTATTTTTAATTCTATTTCAGCAGTTGATAGTGGTGCCGTAAGGTACCGAAACGTACTGCCTTTGTATTTTGTATCATAGCCATGTTTCCGCATTTTCCTGTGTTTTCGATTTTTGATATTCCTTGTCAAACATTATTTTGAGCACGGCTTTATCTGGATCCAGGATTTAAATTTGAATATAGGGACCTATGCTGCCGTGATAAGGAAAAATGCCATATGAACATTCGAGAGTTGCCAAATTTCCTGCGATAAAATGTTTATTTTTGAGGAAAGCTATGAATATTTCTCCTAAAAGTTGTCAGGAGCTTTAGGTGAAATTGTGAGCAAAATTATCCGGAAAATTGGAAGAAAAACGTTTACATATTTCTTTTTAAAATTCGTGATTTACTAAAAGAAATTTGGAAACGCCTGAAGGTTCATACGGCGTTTTTTCTCAGCACGGCAGTATGGCTGAAATATATTGAATGAATAGTGTCTAATACAAATACGTGTACCTGCCAACAAGAGGAGAGCAAGCTGGCGATACAAGGGAAAGAGGAGAGGTCACGGCAGAACTGCCGTGCTAAGGAAAAACGCCGTATGAACCTTCCGGCGTTGCCAAATTTCCTTTGATGGAACACGAATTTCCTGGTAAACTTGTGAAAATTTTCCCTCCAATTTTTCAGACAATTTTGTGCGCAATTTTTCCTGAAGTTCCTGAAAATTTCAAGGAAAAATATTCATTAAAGTCCGCAAACATTAACATTTTATCGAAGGAAATTCGGCAACTCTCAAATGTTCATACGGCGTTCTTCCGTAGCACGGCAGAGAAGAGGTCAAGGTAGGGGAGGCAACGGAGCGAGAGAAGTTGGGCTCGGAGGAGGTGGAAGGAGAGAGCGGAGAGGAAAGTTCCAACTTGCAAATTGGTCAAGAGGTGAGCAATTTCTAGTCTTGTGTGTGAAAGGTAATCAACAATAGCCTCTCGGTAGTTAATCGAATTATCATGTTTTATCAAACCACAGTAGCGCGGAGGGGGCGGAGGGGGAGGGGGGAGGGGCGGTGCGGGTGCCCTCCGTTAGCAGAGCCACCGCAGAGGGGATGAAGCGGGAAGGGCGTCGAGGACTGCATGGAGGACCAAACACATTTAGATTCTCAGGTGTGTTTCATTATTTCGTCGTTACTCTAAAAAGCTTTTAAAATTCTCGAGAGAGCACCTAGGGAATCAGGTGCACCAGGACAAATTACACTGTTCGTTCCGCCCAAGATTGCCAAGTGTTGCCACTAAATTATCATTATCAGGGTTTTCCGCGCAATGGATCGTATTCGATAGTGGTTCGATGTATCGTTTGGTTCAAAACAATAGAACATACCCTCGATCGGAAATTTTAGGATTCAGGTTGGAAAAGTTGAAAATAAAAATTCCCCGACAGTTTCACTTTTCATTGCCATTTGGTACTTGAAAGAATAAAAAATCAATCACAAAAGACCCGTTCCTTCAGATTCATAAATTTGACTTTTGAGGCTATGTATATATGTTGAACCAGAGAGAGAGGGAGATTCCGTCAGCGAAAAAATCAACAGAAATAATTTTAAAAAAATGTTGGTTCGTTTTCTTTTACAACGAATAAAATATTAATAGAGATTTGCCAGCGGTTTGGCGGATTCACGCAATTTTCGATTTTAGCCATCGATTTGCCCGATGAGAGCGACAGATTTTCGGAAATAATAATTGCTTTTCTTTTCTTTTTTTCTCAAAGCATAGTATATCTAGTTAATTTGCCACACTGTTTGCCCGGTCCGCGTATATTTTTGGTTGGCAGGTTCGTTGATTGGTTAATATATTTTTTGTATTTTACGTAGGATCTTCAAGAGATGCTAGGCTGATCACGGAATGGGCGTGAACCTCAAAGCAACAAACCTGTCCTCGTCTGGTCATAACAACAGCGTACTAATGTTACGTTACACCAATTTTGCTTCAGTTCCATTCTGGTCAGTTTGCCTTCAATATGCTGACTAGACGATTTGCGTGGCTTGTGAGCAATAATAGTTGCTTGCTGCAGTTTGATTCGTTCTAAGCATCAGCGGATAAATATCACTGAAATGATTCTTTCCCGCTCATTCTGATCAGTCTGTCTTCAATATATTAACAAAACTATGTGAACTGGTTGCAGCAATGGTAGCTTGCATTATTTTGATGCTTTTCTTCCTCTCACGACCGTGATAATCCTTCCCTAATCAGCTCCTTTCCCCAGGAGACCTCATACAGACGGTGGAACTACCAGGCCACGTATTTCGTTTGCGGTTTTTAAAAATCTCCACTCACATTTAATTTTTTTGCAGGAGATCAAATCAGTATCATTCCTTTCAATTATTATAGATCTCTCTCCGCACAAACAGGAAAAATCGCACGGGAGTTTTCACGATTGACGTTGAGTAGTTTTCCATTTAAAAAATAAAGTATGA